TTCACGAAGACGCCAAAAATTGGGACAAATGGCTGGAACCCCTCTTGTTTGCCGTGCGCGAGGTCCCCCAAGCCTCCACGGGGTTTTCCCCCTTTGAGCTTCTCTACGGACGTCAGCCCCGTGGGGTGTTGGACGTCCTACGAGAAGCTTGGGAGGACGGACCTTCGGACAGTAAAAGTGAAATTCAGTATGTACTGGACCTGAGAACAAAACTCCACACTTTGGGGCGGCTCTCTATGGAGAATTTGTTACAGGCTCAGGGCAGACATAGCAGGTTGTATAACAGGGGAACCAGATTACGCGAATTTGCAACGGGAGAGAAAGTACTTGTATTGCTCCCAACTTCTAGTTCCAAATTACTCGCCAAGTGGCAAGGACCCTTTGAGGTCACACGACCCTTTTTTGTTGCAGACTGACGCATCGGACAGGGGGCTTGGAATGGTCCTGTCCCAGGAAATAGAGGGTGAGGAACGACCGGTGCTGTACCTCAGTCGTAAGCTCTCGAAGAGAGAGACGATGTACAGCACCATAGAAAAGGAATGCTTGGCGATAAGATGGGCCGTGCTCACTCTCCGCTATTATCTCCTGGGACGGGAATTCACTCTCTGTTCAAGGGGGGCGTGGTTCAGCGAGGTCTGCAACGGGAGAGAGGCAAGAGACGAGCTGTGCGTAAGTAGGTCAAGTGCAAATGATAACACCTGTGTCTCATTTCAGTAATTGGTGTGGAGAGACCGGATAAAAGCCACCAGTAATCGGGAAGCAAGGGAGAGAGACTGACTGGGAACTCGAGCCACACAGGGAGACTGGTTACTGGAGCAGGAATTGTATGTGGATTTATATTCTATATAAATATATATAGAGTTATTTCCTGAGTGATTGAAAGCGCAGTGGGCGCCACTTCTTTTGTTTGTGCCAGAGAGCTTTAAATAAAGCACGAGTCCCAGTCACGCCGATCCTGTCTTCTTCCTTCCACACTTTGAACCACATCACAAAGACATTAACTTGTAAGCACAAAACACAAGATACTTCTCTTTTCAATATCAATAAGACTTTATTGGATAAATCTAAGACATATAAACTAGTCTAACACATAAACACACACACACACTCACACATTCACACAAGTTGCAGGATGAGAGAAAGTGAGGAAAGAATGAGTTTAAGAGAATAAAAATTTGAAATCCCAAGTTTACAGCAATATGTGCAATTGCTTAGACCTGAACAACCATCAATCACTTATTTAACCCTCGAATTGAGTTCCTCAATGAGGTTAAAATTTATATTAAATGCACCAGTTCAGCTAGAATCTGGAGGTGCTTGCGTTGCCTGTGTAGGGGGGTTCCCTTTGTTGTCGTCCTTGCGGAAAAGGGGGTTTCCCGAGGTTGCTGATTGGCTGGAAGTTCAGTAATCATTGAAGTGACGTCTTGGGAAGCCAGTGGTTGGCCGTTGGCTGAAGATGTGGAGTTGTGGGATGGTTGAAGTTTTGAGGCGGTCACAGACTCGAGGTGAACTCGGAGACATGTTGTATGTTTCTCCTCCCAATACATAAATCAACATATCATCTCATCAGTCACATGGTCAGAATTTTCCCGCTCTTGCAGAGTATAATTTTGGACATGATTTCTATAACAAGAATATGATACATTTGACATAGAATTGATTGGAAGAAACATTTCAAGCAAGAAGATTCAAACACACACATACTAAACATGAATATGAACCCTTAAGCTATTCAATAGTTA